AGCAGCAGCAGCAGCAGCAGCAGCAGCAGCAGCAGCAGCAGCAGCAGCAGCAGCAGCAGCAGCAGCAAATACCTTTTCCGTCGAGGAACTCCCCCAGCTGCCGGGACTGGACTGCTCCCAAGAGAGAAAGATGAGGAAGAAAAGTGTTGGAGTTTTGGGCAGCTTTGGGGCGCGCCTCATCGCCTGCGGGGTGTACGTACACCCGAACACTGCAGCTTTTCGAAAAAGAAACTTTTATTTGCTGCCCCGAAAAGCCGCTTTCGAGGCCTCTCGGGGCCAAGCCATAGTTCAGGGGATAGCAGCAGCAGCAGCAGCAACAGCAGCAGCAGCAGCAGCAGCAGCAGCAGCAGCAGCAGGAAGAGGAGTGCGCAGGAAGGGCGTGGGCGAGCACTTGGAAATGCAATTTCTCGGCTTCGGCGGCGGCGTTTGGGGCCCCAAAAAGACAAATTAAGTTTAAATGGATTTAATTTAAATATTTATTTTATTTCATTTCCTTAAAAGCGGCAAAAGAGGCGAAAAAAGTGCAATCTGAGGGAAAACCCGCGGAGCGCCCGAGGTGACTCACCGCCCAAGGCGACGAAGACGCGCTGGTAGAAAGTTTCTTGCATTTTCCCCTTTTTAAATCGAATTTCGCAATTAAATGAATTTATTTCTTCTTTTTTGGCTTTTATTTTTCATTTTTTCCGCAAAAAAAGAGACTTTGGGGCCTCGCTGAGCAGCTCCGACACTGCAGCAGCACCGGCGCGCCGCCCGGTGGTCAGGCATTCCGGCCGCAGCCACTTCGGCCTCTTTCACGCGACTCAGCCTTTGAAAACCAATTTAAATGCATTTATTTAATTTAATTTATTTATTTTATTCATTTTATTTATTTCAAAAAGAAAAAACGAAAAAAAACGGCAGTCGGTGGTGCTCTTATTTCAATTTTTCGTCTGCGGTGTCTGCACACCCCAGAGCCAGACCACTCCAATCAAAATAATGCCATTTGAAGTGAAATCAAACAAAATAATGCCATTTAAATTCAAATTATTAACAAAAAATGCCATTTAAATTCAAATTATTAACAAAAAATGCCATTTGAATTCAAATTATTAACAAAACAATGCCATTTAGGGTTATTTTTGCCATTTTCCCCTTCACCGAATGTCTTAATGGCATTAAATTGAGCTACAAAGCAAACCAAAGTCAAATTCCGAAATAAAAAAAGCCAAAAAAGTCTTAAATTGATATAAAAGAATTGACTTTTTGGCTTTTTGCAAAATCCCGATAAATACTTTTGAAGAAAGACTCAAAAATGCAAAAACTTTGTTTTTTATTTAATGCCACAGACCCAACTCAAAAACATTTCAATGAGTTGGCAGCTGAGCGGCTCGCAGCCAGTTAGGGTTTAGGGTTTAGGGTTTAGGGTTTAGGCTCTAGGGCTCAGGGCCTAGGGTTCAGGGTTTAGGCATCGAAGATTTGCTGCTGCTGCTGCTGCAGCAGCTGCAGCAGCTGCAGCAGCATATCTGAATTGAAATACAATATATATAATAATATAGATAATATGCTGCAGCAAAAGTGAAAGAACAAATAAATGCATTTAAATATAAAAGCTTAAAATGGAAAATAAATTAAAATAATTAGTTTCCCCTTTACAACTAAGTGCTTCCTAGCATTTGCATTCATGTAACAGCAGCGTGCATGCAGCAGGACAGGAGCAGCAGCAGCAGCAGCAGCAGCAGCAGCAGCAGCAGCAGCAGCAACAGGAGCAGCAGCAGCAGCAGCAACAGCAGCGGCAGGGGAGGGGCTAGTCAATTGACAGGGGCCGGCCGGCATCAACAGCCGCCGCAGCAGCAGCAGAAGCAGCAGCAAGAGCAGCAAAAGCTGCAGCAGCAGCAGTAGCAACAAGAGCAGCAGCACTGCAGCAGCCTTGCAGCAACAGCAGCAGCGATAAGGACAGCAGCATTGCAGCAGCAGCAGCAGCGATAAGGGCCGCAGCACTGCAGCAGCAGCAGCAGCGATAAGGACAGCAGCACTGCAGCAGCAGCAGCAGCGATAAGGGCAGCAGCACTGCAGCAGCAGCAGCAGCGATAAGGGCAGCAGCACTGCAGCAGCAGCAGCAGCGATAAGGGCCGCAGCACTGCAGCAGCAGCAGCAGCGATAAGGGCCGCAGCACTGCAGCAGCAGCAGCAGCAATAGGGGCAGCAGCACTGCAGCAGCAGCAGCAGCGATAAGGGCAGCAGCACTGCAGCAGCAGCAGCAGCAATAAGGGCAGCAGCACTGCAGCAGCAGCAAAATGCACTGCAGCTGTTTGCAAGTTTCTTTTGTTTTGTTTTAATTGGCAAATAAATAAAATTGAAATATTTTTATTTTTTCATTTAAAAGAAACTTCCAAAAATGGCAGCCCCTCAGCAGCAAAAGAAGCAGCAGCAGAGGCCCTTCTAATGGCATTTATAAAAGAAATAATATTTAGTTTGAATTGTCAATAAAGTGGCCAAAGGGTGCATTTGGCTGCAGCAGGAACAGGCCTTGCTGCTGCTGCTGCTGCTGCTGCTGCTGCTGCTGTTGTTTTGCGCTGCTGCTGCTGCTGCTGCTGCCGTTGCTGTTGCCGTTGCTGTTTTGCGCTGCTGCTGCTGCTGTTGCTGCTGCTGCTGTTGCTGCTGCTGTTTCACTTGCCGGCCTAGCAGGTACCGCTGGACATTTTAGCCCCTTGTTGCTGCTGCTACTTCAGGTGCTGCTGCTGCTGCTGCGCTGCAGCAGCAGCAGCAGCAGCAGCAGGCGTACTTAGGCGCCTCCTCTCCAGAGCAGCAGCAGCAGCTTGGCTAGAAGGAAAAGGCCGATGCAGCTGGCAGCAAGAAAACAAACGAAATAAATATCAAAAGGGGCTTTTGAATCATTACCAAAGTAATCAGCAGCAGCAGCAGCAGCAGCAGCAGCAGCAGCAGCACGCGGGCGGCTGCTGCGTCTAGACACCCCAAGCGGCTGCGGCAACTCCGTCGAGCGCCGCAGGGGGAGCCGCCAGAGAGCCTTCATGGGGTTAAAATGGTATTTTTTGGAAACTATTTGTCGAAATTAAACAAATAATAATAAATTTGCAAACAAAAAAGGTCAAATTTGCAAAGAAATCCGAGAAAAAGAAGAAAACAGCAGCAGCAAGCAGCAGCAGCCACCGCCGCAGCAGTCCGACGCCTCGCAGCAGCAAACCAAATACTTCGCTGCTTTTCTTCTTTTTTCAAAAAATAAAACTTTATTTTTAATTATATATTTAAATTTATGCAGATAAAGACTTAAAAGAGGTTATTTCGTCACTTTAAACTGCAGCAGCAGCAGCAGCAGCAGCAGCAGCAGCAGCAGCAGAGCTCGAAGGTCACCTGCCGCGATCTTCCAAGCCCCGGCACTGAATTTAATGAAATCGTCTGTTTCTTTTCATTTAATTCAATTAATTTAATTTATTTTAATTAATTTTAATTAAATTTATTACTTTTAATTCATTTAATTCTCCTAATGAAGACAATTCCACTTGTGACGCCCATTCCGCTTGCTCATGGCGTAGGTCACTCGACCCCTGCAGCCCATGCTGCTGCTGCTGCTGCTGCTGCTGCTGCTGCTGCTGCTGCTGTTGCTGCTGCTGCTCTTTTGCTGCAGTAATCAGCAGCAGCCTGAGCCAGTACGAAGGCCCGAGCAGCACCTGAATCACTAGCTAGCAAAAGAACTATTTATGAAGATCTAAAGATCTAAATAAACACTTCAAGAATTAAATTAATTATTTATTTATTTCAATTATAAATCATCTAAACATTCCAAGTCTTCAGGATCCCAAAGATCTGGGGCCTCCTTTCCGCCACCCCCAGGCCCCGCAGGCCAGTACCCTCCTGCGGGGCCCCCGGGGGCCCCCGGGGGGCCCCCATGGGTCCCCTGGGGCCCCCCGGGGACCCCAGTTAAGGGCCCTTGGGGGGCTCCCCAGGGGGCCCCCTGGGGGGCCCCCTGGCCTCCTGGGGGCCCCGGCTGGTGCTGGGGGCCCCCCATAAAGTACATACTTTGCGAGACACAAAACTGAGTGCTGGGTGGGTTTAAGGGCTGCTGCGATAGGGCACAGCCGGGGGGCCCCACGAGGGGCCCCCCGGGGGGCCCCTGGGGGCCCCCAGGGGGCCCCTCGGGGCCCCCGGGGGGCCCCCCTACACAAATGAACTCCTCTTCTGCAGCTGCGCTGGCTGAGGGCAAACTGCTGGCAGAGGCCCCTGGGGGGGAGTTGGGTTTTTCTTCTTCTGGAAAAAGAAAAAGAAAGAAATAAAGTGGAATTTATAAATAAAAGGAATAAAAGAGCTTCAAATGGGCTTTTAAAGGAACAAAAATGGAAATAAATTCGCAAAAAAGTATTTCAAAAATCATTTTGAAAAAAGCGATTCAACAGAGGCCGCCACTTCGGGTGTACGTACACCAGCGGCGGCGAACAAGCAGCCACTTTGAAACGGCGATTGAGCATTATAATGAATAAATAAATTAAATTTATTTATTTATTTAAATAAATAATTAATTAAATTAATTAATTCAATTTATTAATTCAATTTAATTCCAATACCTCGCAATAAATGGACCAGACGATTCTCGCACAGAAAGGCCCGCACCTCCGACACAAACAGCTGCCCGTATTTCTGCAGCTGCAAAATAAAAATAAATAAATAAATAAATAATAAATAAATAAATAAATAATAAATAAATAAAAAATAATAAATAAATAATAAATAAATAATAATAAATAATAAATAATGATAAATAAATGAGTAAAAAATATAATAATGAGTTGAATATATTAACTGGCAATAAACGCAAAGCAAAGAACCAGCGCATGCAGCAATTTGCAAATTTAAATTTGCATTTAAACTTTAAAAACTTTTATTTATTTTATGTTAAATTGCATTCTTTAAAATATATTTATAAATGACAAATGTGCCTCAAAATATATATATATATAAACATATATATGCATATATATACAGAAATAAATAAATAAATATATAAATATATAAATTCATATACATATATACATGAATATATTACTTGTTTATAATATATATATATGTATATATATATATATATATATATATATATATATATATATATATATATATATATATATATATATATATATATAATTGTATATATTTCTGCATATTTATATATGCACATATGAGGACTAAAGAGAAATAAATCTGAATTAAAAAAGCAAAAAAAGGCATTTTGAATTATTTTTTTAATTTTTATTTTTCTCACTTTCTTTTCTCCCTGCAGCCCTTTGAACGGCAGCTGCTGCAGCTGCTGCAGCTGCCGCAAAGTTGAAGGAACATTTTCCACAATTGCTTCCAAAGCTGCATTTGTTGCAATACTTTTCGTAGTTTTCAACTTCAGTCTTTGCGCCGTTTCCTCCCGAACTCTCATTAGTCTTTTCCGCAAACTTTCCGCCAAATCCGGGTTCAGGGGGCCCCCGGGGGCCCCCCGGGGGCCCCCCCGGGGGCCCCCCCCCTGCACCCCCTGGGGGCCCCCTGGGGGGCCCCCAGGAGGCCCCGAGGGGCCCCGCCTGTTGGGGGCCCCTGCAGAGCCCACTCGCATCCTTTTGGGAGGGCGGGGGGCCCCCTCATTCAAGGCCCCCCCCTGGGGGCCCCCCTGGGGGCCCCCCTGAGGGCCCCCCTGGGGGCCCCCCTGGGGGGCCCCCCCAGGGGGGGCCCCTTGGGGGGCCCCCCTGGGGGCCCCCCCCTGGCGCCGGGGGGCCCCTGTGGGGGGCTCGTCGAAAACGATTTGTTGGATTTCTTTTTCTGCAGATTCTGGATTTAATCCCAACTCAACATAAGCACTAAAAGATCCTTGTTGGTTTGAAGAGGGGACACAGCGCTCCCACAGAATCTGAATAAAAAGAAAAATAAATAAATGAATAAATAAATAAATAAATAAATAAATAAATAAATAAATAAATAAATAAATAAATAAATAAAGATTTAAAGATAGTGCGAGAAGATGAACGGAGTAAAGGCAGGTTCAGGGAGATGAAGGGGGTGAAGGCAGAAGCAGTCAAAAAGAGTCTACCCTAAACCCTAAACCCTAAACCCTAAACCCTAAACCCTAAACCCTAAACCCTAAACCCTAGAACCCAAAAGCAATAAACTCACTTTATGAATAACCAACAAATGCAATAAACGCGAAGTGGCCGCCTGTGTCCAATTGGCCCTTTGGAGACAGCCAAATTGTGGGGCGAGGGCGAGGGGCCCCCACGGGGCCCCTTGACCTTCCGACCCAGTAATGCATCTCTTAGCGTTGGGAGGGTCAGGCGAAAAGAGGGAAAGTTGGATCGAATGTAACGAACAAGAGAAACAACCTTGAAAGAAAAAACAAAAAGAAATAAATAAATAATTCTAAATAACTATTTTTAATTTAATTCCTAAAGTGGAAAAGTAATTAGAGCTGGTAGTTTGAAAGAAAACGAATTCAGAGGCACCCGAGGATGCCCGCCCTGCAGCTCAAAACCCTAAACCCTAAACCCTAAACCCTAAACCCTAAACCCTAAACCCCACAATGGGCAACCCTAAAGAAAGCCCTAAACCCTCCACCCTGGACCCTCCACTCAGCAACCCAAAAAGCCCTCAACCCCTGACTCTGACCCTTAAACCCTAAACCCTAAACCCTAAACCCTAAACCCTAAACCCTAAACCCTAAACCCTAAACCCTACAAACCCTAAACCCTAAACCCTAAACCCTAAACCCTAAACCCTAAACCCTAAACCCTAAACCCTACCTCAGCGACTAAGTGGCCGCAAGGGACCACAATGGGTTTAATTGATTTTCTTCTTTTGCAATTATCACATTCTGTCAAACACTCTCCCTCAAAAGTCTCTCCGAAGTGCTGCGGGTAAAAACACAAAAAGTCCATTTATCAAAAAACCCTTCTTGACAAATTCAACAAACAATTTACAAAAGCTCCTTTTGGCTAGCTGGCTGACTAGCTAGCTGACTAGCTAGCTGGCTAGCTGGCTGACTAGCTAGCTGGCTAGCTGGCAATCTCAACAACGAGCTAGCTAGCTAGCTAGCGAGCTAGCTAGCTCGCTAGCTATCTAGCCAGCTAGCTAGCCAGCTAGCTAGCCAGTAAGGCTAAGTCAAGATATCTGAGTACCCTCAAAATGAAAACTCTTCTGCACTCAGCCAGCCAGCTAGCTAGCTAGCTAACTAGCTAGCTAGCTAGCTAACTAGCTAGCTAGCTAGCTAGCTAGCTAGCTAGCTGGGCGCAGTTAAGACATCAGATTACCCTCAAAATGAAAACTCTTCTGCATTCAAAAAGCTCTTCGCAGTACTGCAGCATTACCAACAAGTTCATCGCGTTTTGCTGCTGGGGGCCCCCGGGGGGCCCCTGGGGGCCCTCCTTGCTGCTGCTGCTGCTGCTGTAGTTTCTTCCTTCGCTGCAGCCGGGCAAAAGGACTCGCAGCAGTGTGGCCAAGCAATGGCTAGCTAGCCAGCTAGCTAGCTGGCTAGCTGGCTAGCTAGCTGGGGGGTGGACTGGATGGCTAGCTAGCTAGGGGTGAGCTGGCTGGCTAGCTAGCCACCTGTGTGTGTAGCTGCCCATCTATATAGCTGGCTGGGTAACTAGCTGCCTAAGTGGCTAGCCAGCTAGCTAGCCAGCTAGCTAGCTAGCCAGCCAGCCGGATGGCCAGCCAGCCACCTACCTATCTAGCTAGCTAGCTAGCTAGCCAGCCAGCAAGCTACCTAGCCAGCCTGCTAGCCAGCTAGCTAGACAGCTAGCTAGCTAGCTAGCTAGCTAGCTGTTGGGATCTCGAATTAAATGCAAAGTCCACACCTGTTGTTTTGCATTAGAAAGCTCTGGCGCTGTTTGTCGTGGTAGTCGTAAAGAAGAAGACAGTGAGCTTCTTCGCCGTCTCGCCCAGCTCGCCCCGACTCCTGCGAGGGTTTAGGGTTTAGGGTTTAGGGTTTAGGGTTTAGGGTTTAGCAAGGGGCACGCGCATGCAGCTTCCACTCTCTCCCTACGCCGCGCCTAAGGGTTTAGGGTTTAGGGTTTAGGGGGTAGGCCCGTGCATGCAGCCTTCAATGACTCCCACACCGCGCTTTAGGGTTTAGGGTTTAGGGTTTAGGGTTTAGGGTTTCTCTGACCTGGTAGAAGTTTTCCAGAGACTTTGGCATTGCTGTGTGAATTACAAAACGAACATCTTTTTTATTAACCCCCATTCCAAAAGCCAGAGTTGCAACAATTACCTGAGAAGAATCCAAAACGAGGGTTTAGGGTTTAGGGTTTAGGGTTCGAAACGAGGGTTTAGGGTTTAGGGTTTAGGGTTTGCGGGAGAGGGATGGGGATTCAGAATCAAGTCCTAACCGACCCAGCAAAACACTTCTGAGCTCTCGTTCAGGAGGCAACCAAAACCCTAAACCCTAAACCCTAAACCCTAAACCCTAAACCCTAAACTCTAAACCCTAGAAAGCTAAGTAGACTCTTTAAATTCCAGAAACAAATAACTGCCGTTAGCGAAACCCACATAAACCACTCGAGAAACTGAGCCTTTGTTCCAAACGCCAAAACAAAATGCCAAAAACCCTAAACCCTAAACCCTAAACCCTAAACCCTAAACCCTCACTTTGAACTTACTCATTGTCCATTCTCTTTGCACTTTTTCTCTTTTTTCCGCCCCAAGCTTCCCAGGCAAAGGGCCTCTACCCCTAAGCCCCAAACCCTAAACCCTAAACCCTAAACCCTAAACCCTAAACCCTCACTTTGAACTTATTCATCATCCATTCTCTTTGCACTTTTTCTCTTTTTTCCGCCTCAAGCTTCCCGCGCAAAGGGCCTCTACCCCTAAACCCCAAACCCTCAACCCTAAACCCTAAACCCTAAACCCTAAACCCTAAACCCTAAACCCTAAACCCTCACTTTGAACTTATTCATCATCCATTCTCTTTGCACTTTTTCTCTTTTTTCTGCTTCAAGCTTCGCGTGGTAAAAAGCTGCAGATACACCTGAATCTTCGAGGCCCTCCGCCACTTTTTCGCAATCTCTTTGACTCAGACTAAAATGAAAAATAAAACAAAATTGAAATTAAATTAATTTAATTAATTTAATTAATTAAATTAAATTAATTAAATTAATTAAATTAAATTAATTAAATTAATTAAATTAATTAAATTAATTAAATTAATGAAGATAAAAGGAATAAAAAGGAGACAAAAAGAATAAGAGGAAGTAAAGGAAACAGGAAAGGATGAACTGGACAAAAAGGAATTTAAAAAGAAGTTAAAAAAATAAAAATTTGAAAAAGAAAAATAAAAATAAAAAAGAAAACAATTCAAAAATATTAAAAAGCAAAAAAAACAAAAAAGACAAAAAAAGAGACAAAAAGAGATAAAATGAATTTAAAAATAAAAAGAATTTAAGCAGAAAAAGTGTAAAGGGAATTTAAAGGAATTGAAAAAGAATTAAAAGAAATTGAAAAATACAAAGAAATTCAAAAGAATGGGAATTAAAAAGGAATTAAAAGAAGTAAAAAAAGAATTAAAAGAAATTAAAAAGAATAAAAAGAAATTGAAAAGAATTAAGAGAAATGAAGAAGAATAAAAAGGAATTGAAAAGAACAGAAAGGAATTAAAAAGAATAAAAAGGAATTAAAAGGGAATTAAATGAAGTTAATAAAAAGAGATTAAAAGAAATTGAAAAAAGAATTAAAAGAAGTAAATAAAAAAAGAATTAAAATGAGAAAAAATATCACAAGAGGGTAAAAGGCACAAAAAGGATAAATTAGCTTATTCCTTTTATCTTCAATTATTTAATTAATGTAATTAATTTAACTAATTTAATTGATTTAATTAATTTAAATTAATTAATTTTAGCAGAGGAGATTAAAAACGTAAAGGAAAAAAGAAATAAAGAAACAAACAAAATTTTAATAAAAAGAAAAGAAATAAAAGAAATAAAAGAAGTAAAAAAACAGAATAAATAAATAAAATAAATAAATAAATAAATAAATAAATAAATTAATAAAAAGGAAGAAGACAAAACAAAAAAGAAAAAGAAGAAAGGAAAAAATAAAAGTAGAAAATGAAAACCCGAAAAATAATCAAAAAAGCAAATTATTTATTTGATTCAATTCAGTCCAATCTAATTCAACCAGATAAAACGAACTAAATTAAACAAAGTAATTAATTAAATTAATTAAATTAAATTAATTAAATTAAATAAATTAAATTAAATTAAATTAAATTAAATTAAATTAATTAAATTAAATTAATTAATTAATTACCAATAAACAATTCCCGAAAGTCCTCGAAAGTTTTGCAAAATTATTTCTGCCACTTGCTGAACAGCGCGGTGTCTTTGTTTGGGAATTACTTCATATCTGAATTTAAAATAAATCATTTTAATTAATTTAATTAATTTAATTTAATTTAATTTAATTAATTTAATTAATTTAGTTAATTAATTAATTTAATTAATTTAATTAATTTAATTAATTTAATTAATTTAATTTTTTAACTTAATTACTTTAATTTAATTTAATTTAGTAATTTAATTAATTCAGTTTAATTTATTCCTTTAATTAATTCAATTAATTTAATTTAATTTG